GCAGACCTGGACCACACTGTGGCATTTCTCAAAAACCACCCATTTCAGTACAACAAGCAGAACTTTATGGAGGGTTTCCTATGGCTCTTAATTTGAGGGAACACTCCACAATGGCAACAGAAATGGTTGATGAGCTGGGCAGTGGTGGCGCACGCCTTTAATCCCAGCACTTGGGAGGCAGAGGCAGGAGGATTTCTGAGTTCGAGGCCAGCTTGGTCTACAGAGTGAGTTCCAGGACAGCCAGGGCTACACAGAGAAACCCTGTCTTGAAAAACCAAAAAAAAAAAAAAAAAAAGAAATGTTTGATGGCGTAGCTCAGTTGGTAGAGTGCTTTCCTAGAATGCCAGAAGCCCTGGGTTCAATGTACAACATTGCATGAACCAGGCATAATGTCACAGATCTGAAATCTTAGCCATGGGGAACTGGAGGCAGGAGGGCAAGAGGATCAGATTATCCTCAGTTATATAGTCAGCTCTGAGACAGCTGTGGATACAAGAGATTCTGTCTCAAACAAAATTATCAGCAACAATGAAGATCAAGTATTCCAGTCAGTATCCCACTGTCTATCCTGTACCACGGTCTTCCTGTATTACTGTCTGTCTATCCTGTACCACTGACTATCTATACTGTACCACGGTCTATCCTGTACAACTGTGTATTTTACCTGTAGCATTTTCCTCACTTGGGAGGACATGACACTGGGGCCATCTACTAGAAGATCTACACTGAGTGCCAACTGTGTGTGAGGAACACATTGAGATGGGCTTCTGACCATCCATAGGGCCACACCACCATGACGGCCACTGTGCCTTCCAGACTCTGCCAGGACCTCTCCACAACCATCTTCTCTCCGTTGCATTTCTTCTACTATGCAGGCTCAAACCCTTTCACTGACAGACATGCCTGCCACACACCCAGCAGATGAGGCCCTGTTCAGTTTCAGACCAAGTGAGTTTCACCCTCCCTCTGTGTAGTCTAGCTGATGGCTCTTTGTTGCTCCGTTTCCTCACTATAACAGAGATGTACTAACAATGCCTACTCCTGGGGCTGGAGAGATGGCTCAGCGGTTAAGAGTACTGACTGCTCTTCCAGAGGTCCTGAGTTCAAATCCCAGCAACCACATGGTGGCTCACAAACATCTGTAATGAGATTTGATGCCCTCTTCTGGTGTGTCTGAAGACAGCTACAGTGTACTCATAAATAAAATAAATAAATAAATCTTAAAAAAAAAAAAAAAACAATGCCTACTCATCAGGACTTTCCTGTGATTCTGATAGCAAGAGTGGTATTTTTATCTGCATATTTACTAGGTGTCCAAGTGTAAATCAAAGCACTAGGTAAGTTTCAGAATCTGGTCACATCTGTACAATTGCCGTTCTCCATTGTGGTCTGTAAAACAAATCAACCTGAGGTTTCTTTCTTTTCTTTATTCATTTTTATGAGTACATTGTAGCTGTCTTCAGACACATCAGAAGAGGGCATCAGATCCCATTACAGATGGTTGTGAGCCTCCATGTGGGTGCTGGGAATTGAACTCAGGACCTCTGGAAGAGCAGTCAATGCTCTTAACCACTGAGCCATCTCTCCAGCCCTCAACTTGGGGTTTCTAAGTGATAGAATCAGTATTTGCACTCTTTTGTCAAATCTAGCTCTTCCCAGGGACAGCTCAGCTCCCCAAACTAACTATGAAGACGGGGATGAAGGAGTTCTCCTAGGCAGTCTATACTCCACAAAGGAACCCTGCAGTCCATGCCTTCCAAGGCTATGGTCCCTGTCCTTCAGGTTTTCCAGGCCAGCAGAAATAGGATGTTCCATAAATAGGACCCTTAAGAGTATTGAGGTCAAGTTCGCTGGTTTTGGAGTTGGGTAGGCTTTCTGCAGTGAGACTGGTGGGTACGGTATGGCCACTCTCAAGAAGTTTCAGACACCGGTTCCGCTGAATTACAAAGGAGGTACTGTATTTGAAATTGTCAAAGAGGCCAAGCTGCCCAAGTGGTTCCTTGTCGAGTATCTGGAAGATCCAAAGAGAGTGTACGTGGAACCGTCGCTAGTGGAACTCATGCTTGGTAAGGACGGAGAGCACATCCCGCATGTTGAAAGTATGTTGCAGACAGTGATTCATGTGAACGTGTGGAGTCATGAAAAACAAGCTGAGATTTGGATCTTCGGACCGCCTTCTTTTCAAAAGGACGTTGCTCAGATGCTCTCTGATGTGGCTCACCATTGCCGCATGAAACTGATGGAAAAGGAGGCTCTGGAGGCTGGAGTTGAGCGTCATCTTATGGAGGCCCATAAGGCGGCCACCCAGCCAACTCCTGTGACAGTCCATGAGGCTGCCACCCAGATGGCTCCTGTGAAGGTCCTTGAGGCCGCCACCCAGACAGCTCCTGTGACAGTCCTTGAAGCTGACACCCAGCCGACTCCTGTGCTGGTCCGAGTCTGCTACACAGCCATCTCCTGTGAAGGAAGTGGAAAGAACGAAGTACAGCCGTTTTGTTCCCCTCCTTGTGTTAAATATTTTCAAACACAATTTAAAGTATTCTAATAAAAATTTGCATTCCCAAAAAACAAAACAAATCAAAAAACGGAGTATTGAGGTCATTGGGTTTATCTGATGAATTTAAAGGCAGAAGTGATTTAGAGAAAAAAAAAAACGTTATGGAGAGAACGCAGGAGGCTGACACATTGGGAACTAGGAGTCCCAAGAAAGTGGGATCTATTGTTATCCTGACCCCCCGGCTCTAATCAAAGTGATGCTGATAAACACACCGCTCTGAATGGTGCACCCGGATGTGGGAACACATAGCCTCATAATCATACATAAGGACAAGAATGTTCACAGGGACATTACAACAGCTTTAAACTAGAAATAACCCAGTGTTCAGCAGCAGAAAACATAAAACCACAGGGCTACTAGTGGTATGTTTTTATCATGGTCCAGGTGGCAATTCAATAAAAATTAAAACAGTAAAAATAAGAAACTGAGGATGTATTACTCAAACTATTATTGTTGGTTGTTGAAATAGGGTTTCTCTGTGTCTGTTTAACTGCCCTGGCTGTTCTGAAACTTGCTTTGTAGACCAGGACGACCTCAAACTCACAGAGATCCACATGCCTCTACCTCTAACACCTGGGATTAAAGGTGTGGGCTACCATGCCTGACCACTCAGTTCTTAGCAGCTGCATGGAGCTCACAACAGGAGCCTAGAACTCCAGTTTCAGGAGATCTGACTCCTGGCCTCCAAGGTCAACACAAATACAGGCAAACACTCAAATACATAAAATTTAACAATCTTGAAAAACTATTTCTAATTATGTGTGGGTGTATGTATGTGTATCAACGCGTCCACAGAGGCCAGAAAGACATCATTTGTGATCTTTCCAGCTGGAGTTACAGGCAGTTGTGAATGCCCAACTTGGGTGTTTAGACACTGAACTCAAGATGGTCTGCAGGAGGAGTGAAGAACCATTCTGCCTCAATCTTAGGCTTAAAAACGATTTTATAGTAAACACAAACTAGGTGATTCTTCTGTTAGTAATTAAACTTGTTTCTCAAGGACTAGTTTATGTCCCACCTTTAACCTTAACTACAAACGATTCGGTACTGTACCATACAAATGGTTGCAAGAATGGCAAGGGGTTCTATGAGCACCTTGTCATTACTATCTACTGTGACCACTCCCTTGCTATGCTCACCCTGCAGCCATGTCTTTATTTCAGGGGGTCTTTAGGACTAACAAGCTTGCTTATGTTCTGCTCCTATAACCCTGCCTATTTTGATCAGCAGCCACTCCCCCCCATTTGCAAACCACCTACCCCTGAGCTTTATAAAAACCTTGTTTTCCTCACATTCAATGCTGACCTCTGAAATCCCCGCTTTAGAAGGAGGCAGCTCTTGTACATGAATAGCCTGCATTAGTTTGGCCATGGTGATATGGGGCAGTGGTCTGGCTCCTCTCATCTGTGGGGTTAACAAAGTGTTATCTTTAATTGTCACACCTCGAGTCCAAAAGTGAGACTTTTAAGAAGATAGTCTAGAACATCTTTTTTATGTATATTCCAAGTCAGAAATGTGGTTGGGAAGAGATATCTGTTATTAACCGGACAGTAACATAGGAGACTTTTGTGAAATGTTGGAATTATTCTATATCTGATACTTGTACATGAGCACATTCCTATGAAATTGCATTGAACTGTACACGTCATTGTATAATAAGCCCCAATAAAGGAATTAATCGTTGATGAGGACGATGCTGAATATCATACTGTAAGCAATGTCTCCCTGGATCCCAATCCCACTCCTTTGCCATCACTGATTCACGTCACTTCGAGGTTCTGGGAAACCGTTTTTGAAGAACTGAAGGTAAGAATGCAAGTAGCCTTGGGAAAAGAAGTTGTAGGTTGGCTGCAAAGGCTGAAAGGTAGTCGGTTCAAGCGCGGACAGCATGCCCAAGGCGCTTATGTGACTGCGGTGACGGTAGCAGCCCCTTCCGCCTTTTTCCTGAGGATAGCTCCGTCCAACCAAGACCTCCCAGAAGAAGTAGCCAATCATTAGCCGGCCTGGCCAGGGTCACTGACCTGGAATCTCCGTCACCTAGGCTGACTACCAGTTTCCAATGAGCGAGCTGTCCCGTGGCCATCCACGAACAGCCGCCGTACGTCCCGTGCTATTCGCGCCCCGAAGCTTTTCCGCGGCGTAGACTCGACCCTTGCCGGTTGGCGCTCTGCCAGCCAATTATTGGTGTAGCTGGACTAGCCAGCCAATGGCTGCCGCCTCCGCGCGCCTGCTCGGGTCGGTTGCCGCTGTGCGCCTCGCTGCTCGCGGGAAACGGAGATGGATTGGCGCAAGCAGGGGCCAATGGGCGGTGCGCGCGAGGAGCGGGGCCAATGAGCGTCCCGGAGGCGGGGCGGGCGCCGCGGCGGGCGGCTGCGAGGAGCGGCCGGTGGTGGTAGTGGCGGCGGCGGCAGCGGCGGGTGGCGGTAGCGGTCAGCGGTCGGCCATGGCGGAGGCGGAGGCCGGCGGCGACGAAGTCCGCTGCGTGCGGCTGAGCGCCGAGCGGGCCAAGTTGCTGCTGGCCGACGTGGACACGCTGCTGTTCGACTGCGATGGCGTGCTGTGGCGCGGCGAGACGGCCGTGCCCGGCGCGCCGGAGACTCTGCGGGCGCTGCGGGCCCGCGGCAAGCGACTGGGCTTCATCACCAACAACAGCAGCAAGACTCGCACGGCCTACGCGGAGAAGCTAAGGCGCTTGGGTTTCGGCGGCCCGGTGGGGCCCGAAGCAGGCCTCGAGGTCTTCGGCACGGCCTACTGCAGCGCGCTCTATCTGCGCCAACGCCTGGCCGGCGTGCCGGACCCCAAGGCCTACGTGCTGGGCAGCCCGGCCTTAGCCGCCGAGCTGGAGGCCGTGGGTGTCACTAGCGTGGGCGTGGGCCCGGACGTGCTTCACGGCGATGGCCCAAGCGACTGGCTAGCCGTGCCGCTCGAACCCGACGTGCGCGCGGTAGTGGTGGGCTTCGACCCACACTTCAGCTACATGAAGCTCACCAAGGCCGTGCGGTACCTACAGCAGCCCGACTGTCTGCTCGTGGGCACCAACATGGACAACCGGCTCCCGCTAGAGAATGGCCGTTTCATTGCGGGTCCGTGCGCCTAGGGGCTGGAGGTTGGAGGGCGGGCCCAGCCCTTCCGTGTCCTCTTACCCCAGCGTCCCCTTCCCTCCCTCGCTCTGCAGGTACCGGCTGTCTGGTGCGAGCCGTGGAGATGGCCGCCCAGCGCCAGGCGGACATCATCGGGAAACCTAGCCGCTTCATCTTCGACTGCGTGTCCCAGGAGTATGGTATCAACCCGGAGCGCACCGTCATGGTGGGAGACCGCCTGGACACAGACATCCTCCTGGGCTCCACCTGTAGCCTGAAGACTATCCTGACCCTCACCGGAGTCTCCAGTCTTGAGGATGTGAAGAGCAATCAGGAAAGTGACTGCATGTTCAAGAAGAAAATGGTCCCTGACTTCTATGTTGACAGCATAGCCGACCTCTTGCCTGCCCTTCAAGGTTAAAGATCTAGTGTCTTTAATCTCTGGAATAAAAAAAAAAAAGTAAAAATCAGCTACCTAAATTAATAGATGGGGCTTAGGAATTGCTCAGTTAGGTGGCTGCAGGTTAACTGAAGCTAATAAGCAAAGGCAGTAGTTAATCTTGTAAGTAAACGTTGGGGGGGTTGTTTACAGAGAATTATATTTTAAGATGCACTTTTAAGCTTGGAAGGCATTATGGGGTGGGCATATCACGTGCCCAACATTCAGGTAACCTCAGGCCCTGTTGCTGAGACTGAAATGTAATCAGGTATCAGGCCCTAAGATGGGCAGAGAGTAAAAAAAGGGCTCTTAAGTGACACGAAAACCAAAAACTGGGGTTTCTCCTAATGTGATCATGCAGCAGAGGTGCCTGATACTGCATCCCGGTTCCTCACCTGCGGGGTGGTCCTGCAGGGAGCCGCTCCCAGGTGGGGGCACTCTGTTGGGGTTTGGATGCTGCCCTTGACAACCTCCGCTCACTCTGCTTCATTGAAAACCACTTTGACATCACAATTGTCTGTTCTGTTTCAGAGCCCAGCACTACAGACCCTCATGCACAGTAGCAGCCCAGCTAAACTTTGACTGTCTTGTGTGAACTTAAACCCAGGTGTCTTAAGTGTGGCCTGCTGAGCAGCCAAGTGGGTATGGAATGCCTGGCCTGAACTCCATGCTGCTCCACAGGGAGCTCAGAACAGTGTTGATTTTTTTTTTTTTCAAACTAGTGAACGACATTGTCAAGTGTGGAACTGGATCTTAACTGTGTGGATTAATCGTTGTGCTCTGTCTCAAGGGTAAACCCTGCTGAAAAGATCTCACAGCCCAGTCAGCAGCATAGCCAATGTCCAAGCCAGGGATTGTCTTTTTTCCCAGTGTCCTCTAGGTAGAAGTTAAGTCTCTAAGCCCCTCTTGTCCAGGTCCCTTTCAGTTCTGGATGGGTTAAGTGTTGGTGCTCCTTGGAACCACCTATCTCTAATCTTGAACTTCCTTGTTGGTGGTCAGCCATAAGGCCTACCAACCAGTTGGCTTCTCAACATCTCTGGCCTTTTCCTCTGCTCTTAAAGTCCCTGACCTTTAGCAGTATGCTGAGCAGACTGGGAAGCATTCATGGGCCACACCCGGGAAGTTGTTCCCTTTGGCTGACTCCTTTCTGGCACTTTGCCCTGTACCAAGTGGCTACTCATGGCCACAGCACTTCACCTGTTCTCCAAATTCTAGAGCAATAAAGATATCCCATGCCCTAAGCTGCTCAGAGGTCAGGGGTGGGAATAGAATGGTGCCATAGATGAACACAATGGCAGTAGTGCCTGTGACATTGGTGGTGCTGATTCTCTGTGAGTCTGGATAATGACCAGGCTTGGCAGATGGTCAGCCAGGGATGCCCTACTCTGGGCAGACACTGGAAAACCTGTGTGTGTGACATTTCCAGCTTGTCTCATTGTGTGATCTCGAATGCACATTAAACTCTCAAACCCACAATGATTAGGTCTGCCTTCCTCTAATTTCTTCCAGTAGCAGCTGTCTAGCTGTGGGTGGGAGCAAGGCAGGACTGAAGCCAGGCTGGGATTCCAACTCCAAAATCATTCACAGTGGGCATGGCCACTGCAGCCCCTCCCTGCCTGTAAGGAACAGGTCCTAAAGAAACAGGAAGTATGTGGCATAAAGCCACTAGGTTAAATACTGTGGATGTGTGTACAGCAGAGCCACTGTCACATAGCTAGATAAGGGACCAAGACAATAGAGCAAGATTAGAAAAACAACATACTGGGGAACAGAGGTCAGCTTAACCTTACTTAATGTGGAGCAAGCTGCTTGTCTATGGGCCAGCCTGAAACATGGTCATGCACATGGAAATATCAACAGCCCCATATGATACTAATGGGGTCTTGAAAGAAGCTTGGGAGTTTGTAAGGGAAGGTAAGAAAGCAATTAGCTAGCCAGGCAGTGGTGGCGCACGGCTTTAATCCCAGTATTTGGGAGGCAGAGACAGACGGATTTTTGAGTTCAAGGCCAGCCTGGTCTACAGAGTAAGTTCCAGGACAACTGGGGCTACACAGAGAAACCCTGTCTCGAAAAACCAAGGGGGGTGGAGGGGAAGGAAATAAATCAATTAGCCTCATACTGATGGTTCGGATACATTTATTTATGGTTCCTGTGTCTGCTTCAGGAGTCCGGAGGTAATGGACACCAAGAAAACAATCTGCCCAACTAGGCAAAAATCATCCTAGCCAAGACCTAGCCAGTTCTGCTTCAGGGCTGGCTCTCACACTCTTAAGACCCCATGTTCTGCACAAGCCAAGAGTCCAGTGACAAACCTGGTGACCAGCAATCACAAGTGGGGGAGAGGGTTGTCCTGGCTCTGAGACAGGATATCAGATACTGGCTGGGAAGGAAACAGTGGGGTTGGGAGGGGAGGATACAGTTTGATTCATCAAAGGCATCCAGAGGTTTCCCTGGCTGACTCCTCCAAGGGGCTGCAGACAATCAGTGCACTGTCAGCAGGGGCTGCAGCATGAAGCAAGAGCACTTCCACACTGAGACCCTGGGGTCCAAGCCTGTTGAGGTAAGTGTCTCTACCACCCCCAAGACAAGAACCCAAGGATGCCAAAGAAGGAGACAGGAATGTCACCACGTACAATTCTCAGCCCTTTCCCTGAGCAAGTCGGCTCCCAAGTCTCTAAGTCAGAAGCCACACATCCAGTACTGTGCCCTCAGGTGAAGACTAAACCCTGCCATAGGGGCTGGAGAGCAGCAGGTCTGCTGTTGCTGCTGACACTGCTCACTGCAGGGGCTATGGCTGGAGGGCTTCTTGGTTTCATGTACAGCCCTCCCAAGGTAAGCACCTCTTCAAGCCTGGGGATATAGAGAGTGGTAAAAGGGCAGGAAGGCCAGTACGTGTCAGCTCTTGCATGGGGTCCGGTCTAAAGACCAGCCTTGAGCAGATAGTAAGAGAACCAGAAGGATGGAAACGTAGGTTAAGGCTGAATCCCAAAATACCCCTTAGCCGTTGCTGCAGATGCTCCGAAAGACCTTCCCAAGCTCCAGGGTACCCTGGCCCAACCAAACCACTCTAGTGGACCTGGCTCAGAACATGGCGACCATTGTGGTGACTCCATTTCAAAGCAACCACAGCTGGGCCGTGCTGTTCGACGGGCAAAGTGTGAGTGGGCTTTGGGGGGGGTAAGAGTGAAGGTGTTAGGGGTGGCCTCGACTTACCTATCTGCTCCCCTAGGGCTACATCTGTTACCGCCCTGCAGAGCACCAGGCCTGCTTCCTCCGTCTGATGGGAGCCCAAGATTGGAAGACCCTGCAGCTGCTGCTGAACACTTCCAGGGTGAGCAGTACTACTTGGCTTGCCACCCACAAACCCCCAAGGCCAGAGGATAAACAAAAGGTCCTCTGTACAACCCAGCTGGGCCAGCCAAGGCTCTGGTTTCAGGGGAACAGAAAGCTCTATCTTCCCCTGACTAAGGCTGTTGACAAGGGCAGGTGGAATGGCTATCAGGCTGGGGTGGGCATGAATACCCTACCCAACCAGGAGCAAGGAAGTACTATACGGTGGCCTACCAGAGTCTTTTTGCAGGTCCAAGAGTCACATGTGCCTGGCCAGGACACCCACTATGCCCAGGAACTGCTGGCAGTTTTGGGAAGCCATACTGTGGACCCTACCCAAGTGGGAGCTTCAGTGCAACACCTTTGTGCAGACACGCCCATCTACTGGGCCCGCTGGGCAGAGGGTAAGTTGGGGTAGGTCGGGTGAAGAGGCCTATGGCTCCTGCAGGACAGTACTGGGTAGAGGGCCCTTGGGATTCATGAAGTTCCCTTCTCCCCAGGGCCCCAGAGACAGCGGCTGATCTACCTCTGCATTGACATCTGCTTTCCGAGCAACATCTGTGTGTCTGTCTGCTTTTATTACCTCCCAGACTAAGACCCCTACCAAGCCCTCCCGGCCTTTGGTCCCACAGGTCAGCAAGCTGGCCAGGTCACCAGTACCTATGGAAGGCAGCTGACAGTAAGGATAAATAAACCCAGATTGCCTGGCCATAATGGTAATTTTCTGAAGCAAGTGGGGGTAACATACCTGGGATACAGGCATCGACTTCCGATCTTCTCAACAGTCCCAAGCCCTCTAGGTCTAGTCTCTCTAAAGGGAGAAAAGACTCCCAGTCCAGGCACATGTAGTGTGGCTTAGTGGACTTTCTGACGACAAACTGGGCATGGAGAGAGTCCCAGGGCAGAAGTCTAGGTTGCCCAAGAGGGGCCAGGGGTGGTCTGGTCAGGTCCAACTGGCCTGACATGCTGACATGCAGAGGCTGACCTGAGAGTCAAACTTAGCCATTGTACAGGTACATCCTCTTAGAGCCAATATACCAGGCAGTCCTGATTGCCCAATCCAGCCTCAAGGGGCCGAGTCTAGCCCAGCACACTGTCATTGAAGGCCAAGCAGACGACAGCTTTCTGGTGGCCACCATACTCTCTCTTGATTTCTCCAGTCTCTACACACCAGAGCCGGGCCAGGTTGTCTGAAGAAGCTGCAAGGAGAGGTCAGGCAGAAGGGAGCTAGCAGCGGTGAATGGCCTCTCTAGAGGACTTGGCAACATGGGGGAGAAAGGAGGGCGGGGCTCACCTGTGACGATATACTGGGAATCCCCTGAGAAGGCACAGCCCCACATCCAGCCACGGGACGACTCTCCAGGGTTACTACTTTTGATGCTGAGCTCTGTCATCAGGGAGAAGTTGGATGTCCTCCAGATTTTACATGTCTGGTCAGCTGAACAGGTGGCGAGAAGCCTGGGGTGGGACACGAGATGTCTCAGTAGCTACCACTGCCCATGTCTACTTACCACACAGCAGGTCATGCCCCCAGCTCGTCGATTTCCCTCTCCCCCAGGGCCCTACACGCACGTGGAGTCAGGGCTGAAGCGGCATTGCAGGGCGTAGCGCGTATGGGCTGGGATCTTGGTCTTCGGGATGAGCTGAGTCACCTCGTCACCAATGCCCCCTGTCAGATTCCAGACATAGCAGTTTCCCTATAGGACAGGAGGCAGTCATTCAAAACCAAGGCCCTCAGTATGGCTTCGGGACACCTGGGCCAAGGCAGGAAGGCCAGAGGCATCCTGGTCATGTCCATAGGAAATTAACCCCAACAAGGAACCATGTCCAGCCAGCCAAAAGCAGGAGGCCATATTAGCCAAGGACTCAAAACACAAGTTTCCCACAGGCTGCTGCTAGCCAACTATGATGTGCAGGAGGGGAGGCGGTACGGAGGGGTACCCAGATAATGTGACATCCCAAGGCTGAGGAAGGAGTGCAGAGACACGGAACATAGGATATTCTGGGATTTAACGGGAGAATATGAGACTGGAGAGGAGAGCAGGGACCAAACTGAAGCATCTGCAGTCCCTGAGAAGGAGCTTACGGTCTCAGAACAGTGCAGCCCGCCAGGAAGACTAAAGGATATGTCTATGGTGGAAGGGGAACACATCAGGCAGCCCAGGAAGGCCACAGAGAAGCTTATCAGTGTCAAGGAAGATCAAAGCCATGGACTGGAGCATGAAAGGAGAAATAACTGGCCCTGAGAAATACTGGTTGAGGTGCCTAGTCTGATGGGTGGGGCTATGGCAGACAGCAAGGTGAACATCAGGTGTGGTACCCAGATAGGTGCCTGACTTTGGGAGCTGGGTAGAAGCTCAGCAGGGCCTGAGAGAGAACCAGGGAATCAACTCATCTGCAGAAGATAAAGGGCTGGTGCTGAGATGCCCCTGTAGCCGCTCCCAGCACTCACGGCACTATTGACTGCTGCCATGTAGCTGGCATCCGGGTCAATGTGGGCAGACGTGATAGAGAACTCAGGCTCGGGGATCAGCTGCTCATTGTGGTCTGTCTTCAGGTCCCAGATGTGGATAGCACCGCTCTGGTCACCCACAATGAGTTCTGCCTGGGATGTAGTGGAGGTGAGATGTAGCAGTACCCCTGTCCGCTAATCCCCCCACACACCCTGGTTTCTTGGCCCCATGAGTGTTCCTCACCTGGTTGGGATGCAGACACACGCAATTAATGGGTGCATTCACCTGGAAGATACGCTGACACTGTAGGTTCCGGGACCTGTGGGGAGTTAAGGTTACACATGGCATCTAATGTATGCTATCTGTGTCCCCACCAAAAGCCCCCATTCTCTGTTCATAGGAGTTGCTTCTACTTTAGGAGAAACACTTGTGAAGTTTAGCTCTTTCCCCACAGGTGACAGTGTGAGGTCAGTGAAAGTCCGGCCCCTAGCCTCGAGGTGAAGTTGGCCCTCTAATGGAATTCCATTCTGCTGTCCACCTTTCCTCTACCACCCACTCAAACCCCCTTGCTTAGTCTGTAGAATAGCCTCCTCAAAGACAATGCCCTGGCCTGCCCCCTCCCCAGGCAGCCATCCTCTCCGGCCCAGCACACAACACCACCTGAGGTCCCAGATCCGAGCTGTGCAGTCCTCCCCGCCTGTGTACATCCAGCGGCCATCCTCGTGAAAGCCCACTGAGGCGATGTTCTTATTGACTCCATCGTAACTGATGATGGGGTTGGGGTTATTGGAGTTGAGATCATACATGCGGATATGTTGGTAACCTAGGGACACAGGGTGAACTGATGCATGAGTGCCAGGTAACACTGCCACCAGTAAAGGGTCAGAGGTCGAGAATCTCAGGTACCTGCAGCAGCAATCATGCTTCGGTCTGGTGTGATCTCCAACGCATTCACCTGCTGAGCTTGTTAAGGATAATAGAGAGCCCTGGAGAGGGAAGCCTTGGGGCCACAAGGCCATCAAGACCTCCACCACCTGGCCTGAGTTTACCAAGCACGCACCATTCATACTTAACCCTGGCCAGCACCACCCTGCTCCCAAGCGGAGGATACAGAGTCCTGATGCTGCACCGTTCGAGTGCAGATTCCACTGTGAGCCTGCCAAAAGCGCACCGTGTGGTCATAGCCTGCAGTTGCTAAGATGACAGGGTCACTGCCCACTGTGCCTGGGGTGGTATTCATTGTTTGATGGCTGGGGGGAAAAAGGAGACCTGCACTGGGCCAAAAGCTGATAAGTAAGGTCCAAAGGTCAAAACATTTGGAGAGAAAGATGTACGTATAACAACCTGTACACTACAGTGAACCGGTATTACCATCACTTTAAAGATAAGAAAAATGAGAGTGTTCAGGGTCACGCTGACAATCACAACTCCTTTGCTTCCCGCTGAGTTGTTCTTTCAGCTTCACCCGCAAGCTTGGAGACGCCGCCTCGACAGCAGCCAGCAGGAGGCAGTCACACGCAGAGGGCAATCACTGGGGCGCCGTCTGCCGCAAGGGTAGGCAACGCATGCGCAGGGCGACTAGGGAAAGCCGGGCACTGCTGCTGCTGCTGAGCATGCGTAGCGGGCCGGCACTGGGATCGGATGGGTGGGGGCGCTGTCTGGCAGGACCCCCGCGTTCCCCAGTGCTCTGCACACCGCCCTGGCTCTGTCCTACCGGCCTGATTACCCTGACCACACTCTCCTAGCCACCCAGCGGTCGGTACGCAGCCCTCGTCCCGCGGCCCCCATACCTTAACACACGCTCTGCACTCTGCCTTAGTCCAGGGCGGCGAGACGAAAGAGGAGCGAGTCGATAGAAGCCGGGCCGAGTGTAGAGTTATCGATAGTAACACCGGGCGAGACCATGGGTCCGGGGAGTGGGGGAGTTGACAGGGATACCCGATTTCTGAGACGAAGAACCCTAGAAGTGATCGTACGCGGAGTGACCGTCAGTCGCGACTTTGAACTCACTGGGAACTACAGCAATGGTACTGCTGCCTATTTTCCTGGATTGACTCCCAGAAGGAATTACACTGTCATTGTCCCTCCACCTCCCGCAGACATACCCAATCCCCTACCCTTCCAACCAAGCTGGAATTTCTAGGTAAATACAAAACTTACAGATAAAAAAACCATTTTTTTCTTTTCTTTTCCTTTCTTTTCCTTCTTTCTTTAATTCTTTTTTTCTTTTTTAGTATAAGCATATCTCAAACATTGTACTAAAAGAATTACTTTTTCTCAAGAAGTTCAAATGCGAGTGGCCATTCTGTACTTCTATTTGTATATCTGGTAACCCTAGTCCAGGCTCTTTCAGACCTGTCCAGCCCCAGCCTGATACTGAGGGCACATAGGTTAGCCTAGAAACCCGTTTAAAACTGCAGACTCTCATGCCTCCATTTTTAAATTTTTTAATAATACTTTTTATTTAACGCAATATATAAAAATATTATTTAACACATTCAACATAAATATTTTGTGCTTTTTTATTTTAAACTTTGGAATATAGTGTGCATCATGTTCTTGTGAGAAGTCTCAATTTAGACTAGATACATTACAAGCACTCAACTGCTTCATGGAACTATGAATAATGTATTGATCAGAGCAGGTGTAGAGCCTCTGACTCAAGAATAGCAAATTATATTTCGTTTTGGGGGGTTTTTTTTTGCTTTTTTTTTTTTTTTTGGTTTTTTGAGACAGGGTTTCTCTGTGTAGCCCTGGCTGTCCTGGAACTCACTCTGTAGACCAGGCTGGCCTCGAACTCAGAAATCCTCCTGCCTCTGCCTCCCAAGTGCTGGGATTAAAGGTGTGCGCCACCACCGCCCGACTTTTTCTTTTTTGTTGTTGTTGTTTTTGTTTGTTTGTTTGTTTGTTTGTTTCAAATTATATTTCATCATATCTGTGGAATATAAGTTTGCTTTGTTTCTTAAAAGACAACACTATAATGTATTTGATCTTATACAATCTAATGATTTTTTTTAAAAATGTTTTTATCAATTGGGAATTTTTTATATATAACTTATTTTATCTTATGTACATTGGTGTGAGGGTGTCAGATTCCCTGGAACTGGAGTTGAAGACAGTTGTGAGCTGCCATGTGGGTGCTGGGAATTGAACCCAGGTCCTTTGGAAAAACAACCAGTGCTCTTAACCATCCGTCTCTCCAGCCCCCAAGTGAGAATTTTGTATAACATGTTTTGATCATATGTGTTCACACTCCACATCCCTAAATCCTTCCAGATTCATTCCCGCTTCCTAATCTCCTCATACCCCTTCTGCAGCCTCTTCTTCATGAAGGACCTTCTATGGAGGCCCGGTAGCTTTGAGGTGGGTTGTGGTATAGATGTCCCCCTTGTGACTGAGCACCGCTGGTACTTATTCTCTTCACTTGGGTTAGTCCTAGTTTCTGTTAATCATCAGCCACTACACAAAGAAACGTCTCCGATGAGTCTGAGAGAGCAGCTAATCTATGGGTATGCAGATGCAAATTTAGAAAGTAGCTTGATCCTGTATCCATCGAGTAGAAAAACATTACTTAGTTGGCCCCTGGAGCCCATGGGCTCCCCTACCATAGGTTCTTGGCCAGGTTAACAGTACCAAGCATGTATTTCCTTTAATGGAGCTGGCCTTAAATCCAATCAGAAGCCCGTTGGCTACTTCCATACCATTCCTGCCACTACTTGACTCCTGGACATACCTAAGCTTCAAGAACAGCAAATTATATTTCATTATACCTGTGGAATATAAATATTATTCTCTCATATATTGCATCCCGACAGCAGTTTCCCTTCCCTCCCTTCCCCCAAGTCTCTTCTTCCATCTCCTCTCTCCCCCAGATCTCCCCTCCCTTCTACCTCCCCTCAGGAAAGAGCAGGCCTCCCAGAGACATCAACCAAACACAGCACAACAAGCTACAATAAGACCAGGCGCATGCTATCACATCAAAGCTGGAAGAGGCAACCCAGCAGGAGGAAAAGGGTCCCCCGGCCCTCACTGTTACGATTCCAGAACACCAAGCTGCTCAGCCATACCTTATATGCAGAGGACCTAGGTCAGACCCTACAAGCTCCCTGATCTACGAGCCCCCATGAGTCCCCGTCAGTGGACTGTGTTCTTGTGGTGTCCCTAACCTCTTTGGTTCTTCTAATCCTTCCTCCCCTTCCTCTGCAGGATTCTCAGCTCCCCCTAATGTTTGGCTATGGGACTCTACATCTGTTCCCGTCAGTTGCTGGGTGAAGTCTCTCTGGTCTCTTTGGTGACGATTCTACTATCATGCCTCCATTTTTATTACCTCTCTGCCAACTCTACAAAGTTGTCTTGCTTTCTCATGATCTCTTCCCACTGCACCTACAGATGGGGCTGCAACCCCTTCCCCACTAGCCACAGAGAGGGTGAGTCCAGCAACTTGGCCAAGGCCAATTCTCTTGTCCATGCACCAGGTTCCTGGTCATAGACATGCCTCTTCCTATACCTTCCCACAGTCCCTGTTTTTACCTCCTTAGCATGTTTATGGATTTTTGGTTTGGTTGACCAGGCTGACCTGCCTGCCTTTATCTCCCAAGTGCTGGGATTAAAGGTATGAGCACCACCACCCTCCTTGGTGTGTTTTTGTTTCTTTTTTTTTTCAGTCAGGAATTTCTTTGGTAACCTACAGTGACTTCAGATTTACAGTGTAGCCAAGGATGACCTTGCACTTCAGGTCCCCTCTCCATCTCCTGAGTACTGAGACTACAGGTGCCTGTCACTACACCCAGTTTTATACAGTGTTGGGGAATCTAACTCAGGGCTTTGCACATGCTAGGCAAATACTTCTACCATTCGAGTTTCAATGCCAGCTCCAGCTTCCCCCATAGCAGTTTAGCAGACACACACACACACACACACACACACACACACACACACACACACACAAAATTTCAATACTCTCCTTACAGCTAAAACTCTCTCTCCTTCAAAAGGCCTCACTTCCCACCTCCCCCTCAGCTCTCTGGAGAAATTCCTCAAGGCCACTGTGCAGCTTAATCTGTCAAACTTGGTTGATACTTTCTTTCCACATCTTGACCCTTGTGTACTGTGGTTCACAGAAAAATATCATCTCCTCCTTATGCCCAGTACCAGTACCGCATCTACCTAAGTAGTCTCTCTTCCTGTCCCCATACCCCTCTGGACCTCTTTTTTCTTGACCTTGTCATAGAGGCTCTGTGGCTTCCCATGACATCTTTACCCTGGTGTCTGGCCACCCTCATCTCCAGCTCCCAGGCTCTTGAAAGTACAGCCAGCCTTCTGTTACATATGGCACACAAATGCCATAAAGAGGACGCCACCGTCCAGGCCTAAGGTAACTCCTCGCTGACGAGTTGCCCCTCTATGAAGTGTCTGACTCCAGGCTATAGCTAGGTCTCATCGAGTACATCCTTCTTCCTTGCCCTTCTCAGCCACCAATTTCCAGATTTCACCACCCACCTCTTCCCGTGGTTTTTTGGTTGGTTGTTTTTTTGGTTTTTCAAGGCAGGGTTTCTTTGTGTAACCCTGGCTATTCTAGACTTGATTTGTAGACCAGTCTGGCTACGAACCCAGAGATCTGCCTGCCTCTGCCTCCTGAGTGCTGGGATTGAAGGTGTGTGCCACCATGCTTGGCTTCCTCACATCCTTTTAAGCCCTGTTCTAGTCCCCATTTAACAGTCAACCCACTTGCTACAACCTCCTCCTCCTCCTCTTCTTCTTCATGTAACTTCACCTAGGCTGATTGGAACTTGTTCCATAAACAAAGATGACCTTGACCCTCTCCTCTGCCTCTACCTCTCAAGTGCTGGAATCACAGATGTGCTTGTATGGTCATTTACAAACTGAAATCTGGCCTTACTAACCCACAAGAGCCTTCAGGGGTCCCAGAAACCTTTTGGGTCTAGCCCCTGCCTCTGCCTGACTGCCACCCCTCCCCCCACCCTAGGCCACTGGCTCAGCAGTGGTGGTCTCTCACTTTACCTTAGCTACACTTAGGTCTAACCCTGTGCTTAGAATGGTCTTCCCTCCACCTCTGCTTCTACCCAACTCTTGGCTTTTAGCACCTTTCCGTTGATTTCATGAACTTATTCTTTGTGGGGCACTGCTTCAGATGAGACTCACACAGCATAAGATTACCCCTTTATTAAAGGTTTGTTTTTATTTATAAGTATGTGTGTGAACATGTTAGCATGCATACATGCATGCAGGTACCTTCAGAGCCAGGAGAGGGAATGTGCTTCCCTAGAGCTGGGGGTTACAGATGCTTCTAAGCTGCCTGATATGGGTGCTGGGAACTGAACTCAGGTCCTCTACAAAATCAGAAATTGCACATTAACTGATGAACCATCTCCTCAGTCCCCAAATTGGCCATTTAAATTGCCAGGGATGCAAATCAGTGGTACAGAACCCGCCTGACACA